AACAGACAGACAATAGATACATTATTGGCTGCAAACTCTAGACTCTGACATGAAAGGTGGACTCACTGCATATCAATCCACCTTCACAGTCTTCACAACCTTACTTTTGCTTCACAAACTAAAGGGCGTACTATGTCCTGCAGTTGCAAATCAGAAAGAGATCATGAGTTCTTAACAATTCTTAGTTAGGTCAGGAAAGGCTGAGGGCATGGTTAAACGAAACCAAGGTCGACTGACTCCCCTGTGAGTTTCTGCAGCTCTTCTACTTCCCTCTTTACTAAACCTGCCATAATCAATATTTTCATTTTAATAATAAACTTGTATATGAAAGGGATGCCTTGTAGTGATGAACCAACAGAGAATTATCACCCAACTCTGCAGTTCCCCTCAGTTTTACAGAGCATTTTAGCACCTTTCAGTTCATTGTTTTGGTTTTCTGGCTGCAACTTAACTGTCTAAACTTTTATCTCACTGCTCTCATCAGCAGTTAGCGACAAATCATGGTTGCTGTTCGCTTCACAGAGGCTTCTGTTCTTACTACATTTAGGTGTACATTTAGTCACACTCCAGAGTTGCAGTACAAACATGATGGTGACCTGTGACAGGAGCAGCTCATTTGTTTGTTTTATTTGGCTGAACAATGTGAAACAATGTTGGTGTAAGTGCTTAACAAGAACAGAGCCAAGGATGTGGAAGTAAACAGTACAGTGCATGGAGAGATCATTCAGTTTACCTGTCTGATGAGCGTGCCCTAGGCCTACTCACAGTGCAAGTATTTTGCATGGACTCACATTTTGAGATGCAGACATCCACAAAGACTCCACATGGAGTTGTTGGGCAGTTGAAGAAATTTAGCATCTAGATGATGAACACTGCAGAGCATTTAGCAGCTAATGAGCTTGAAGAGAACAAAACAGAGTCACAATAAGAATAAATGTTGGACTTAGAGTCATCAGCTAGCCCAAAACACAACTTCAGATGAACATGTATTTTGTTTTGTGTCTAGTAAATGTGAAAAGTAACTGTTGCTAATGTCTTTGCCATAAAAGCTCAGGAATTGATAATAAATTGAACAACTCTGTGCAACACTTACATCTCTATTGTGCTTTTAATCAGGTGCTTCTTTCATTATTGATTTGTAGTTATAGACTCCAGAGTTTAGACCGACACATCTGAAGCACATCTGTTTGCATCTAATTTTTTTGCATGCATCATAGGTGGAAGTAAAGAATACCTCCTGATGTTCTGCTGTCTTTTCTCCTTCATTCCTGTCTTTCCTCTTTGTATGTTTTCTGCTTACCAGTAGGTGGAGCTTGTCTCCTTTGGCTTGAGAGAAGGAGGGCGAGAAGGAGATGATTAAAGAGAGAAGAAAGAGGCAGAGAGAGATGGAGGGATGAAGAGGGAGGGAGGAGAGAGAACAAGCGTCAGCACTCCATGCGTTAAAAGGGCAGATGGTAACCGCGGGTAACTGAGGAGCAAACCACTCTGCTGGCCACAGAGCAAGAGATCAGCAGAGAGAGGGAGAGAGAGGGAGGCAGGAGAGCAAACGCATGCAGCGCAGCAGAGGAGAGGAGCATCTGAGAGGAAGCTGCACGCCGGCACTGACAGAAGGACGAGAAGACTGAGTACTTCTTCTCAGCACTAACAAGGAGGCACAGCGCAAAAAGAAATGGGGGGAGAGAAACAAAGACAGGGACAGGAGATGGGGAGATAATAAGAGGAGGGAAAAGTATCCCTCCCCTCCACTTAGAGAGCTACAGAGACAAAGAGGGAGGGAAAACAAAAGGGGGCTGGAGAAATTGTGAAGTGAAGAGAGGGAGGCAGAGGAGGAATTGCAAGACTGATCAATGAGAAGCTGAGATTTTGGGAAGAAATTTACACTCAGCAAGAAAAAACGAAAGAGAGAGTCAGAGGAAGGGAGATAATGACAGGGAAAGAATGTTGAATGAAAGATGGATGCAAAATATCAGGAGAGAAAAGGACTTAAAGAGAAATATTTAAGGAGACACAGAGGCATCTAGTGGG